CGGTAAACATAATTTTGTCTACATTTGCGCAGACGGATGATGAAACATATGCGCGGTAATGTCAAAAGAATTTTATGTGCGGAAGATAATTTATAAAAGGACTAAGCATGCGCGGAAAGTTACCCGAAAACTAAATTTGCGCCAACAGAATATGGCCAAATAAGTCTACAATCTGGAACCAGGAAAACCAGGAACTAAAGTTCTTCCTCCAGATAGGGAACGTAAAGGAATTTCTAAAAATACTGTAAATCAGAGAAAGTCAAAGCGTTCAATTTAAAAACTCCCAAGAGTATTCACATTTTTGTATGGAGTGTACCCTCTGTGGCAATGTTCCATTTGACACCATATGAAGCCACTGAAATCTTTGGTAGAGTTTTAGTGTTACACAGCTGTATGGTTCAAGGTAAACGGTACAAGTTACTGAGAGCGATACTCAGAGATAGGGAGAAAATGGATGCTTCCATCTTATAAAGCACAAGAAATATATTAAGAAATAACATAGGTACAGCTGCAGCGGCCTCATATTTACCATGATACGATGAAAATATTTGCTGTATATCACAGCTCAGAGACAAAGTCCATAACTCCCTCACACAGCTAGTGTTCTTTGTGTCCGTTCTCTCTGTTTGCTTGAAGTGCTAATAAGGGGGGGGATACAGGGGAGCTTACCCCCTGTCTATGGAATAAACTGAAGTTAGGAAAGGAAAGGAAAGGTTAGGGTTTTTGGATTCACATGATACCCTGGTTCTGGGACTCTGGAGGATATAGAATTTAAGTGACTTTTCACCTGTAGCATTTCAGAAAATATCAGGGTTTTCAAAGGTTTTCAAGGTAGTAGGCTACCTATGCCCAAGTAGGGGGCTACCCTGTGCTGGGTAATGCCTGGCAGCCGAGCGCCGAAGGCACAAGGCTAAGCAACCCCTAATGCACTAGAAGAATAGATAAAGTGTTTTGATGTAAATATTTTGATGATTTATGGTGTAGATGAACGTTAAACTAATGCGAAATTTGATAAATGCTTATTTGATAAATGCATATTTGGGGAATTGGACTGAGAACATCTTTGGACATGCCTTCATTTGTTTACTGTGAATTATTATTATTATTATTATTTTCTTTTTAATGTAGGCATTCATTTTAGTAGGTGCAGCTTAGAAACACTACAAAGAAAAGATGGATTTGTCAAAAATTATGTATTTTCTTAAAATTTTTTTTTCTGTTTCGACTCCCCAGATTTGTAGAATTAGTGCAAAATGGTGATCCCGGGAAAGGAGCGAGATTTGTTCTCGGTAAGTTGGTTATCTTTCTCTTGCCAAAGTATTATAGTCGACATATGATATATTTGTTATTTATTATAAGGAAAGTAATATGAAAAATAAGTAGATTATGAACATCGCTATTTTTGTCTTTTCATTTCTCCATTATATAAATTCTTTTTTGAAGAGAAAAAGCCATACAAAAGTCACACAAGTCCTTACCTATAATCATGTGAAAAATGATGTTTTCAAGTTTCTGATCTTGTGTATTTTTTACCACAGGTTAAGCCATTGGTTGAGAAAAACAAAGTCAAGAAGAAAAAGGCCAAAGGTAAGGAAGGAGGACTTGGCTTCAAGAAACTTCAAGAAGAGCACCAAAAATTAGCAGATGTTCAACACACACCGTTACTTTATGATGTAAGGTTGTCCTTATCTTGTGGAAGATGAGTTGATGTATTTGAGTGTTCTATATGCATGAAAAAACAGCGATTGAGACTATGACATGAAGCTTCATAGATGTATGTATATTTTTTTTTTATAAGATTAATAAAGGTGTAGAGATTAGCTTAAAATAGTATTCAGTTCTGAGATATGATGTTATTTAATGATGTTTATCTATTCTAAAATACTGAAATATTTACACAGAATATCGTAGAAGGTCAGGTGATCTTGGGATGTATACAAGAAGTGCACGATTATGAGCTGAAGGTCAGTCTTCCACACCGGTTGTCTGGCACTGTGCCCATCACGAAGATCAGCAAAGCATACACAGAGCTAGTGAAGAAGGTCAGTGTTTGGATTTATATGATTTATATGTCTGACTAATACTATATGGGAATGAGCAGTGTAAATTGCTAATGTATAATTGAAATTTTGAAGTAGTGTTTGTATAGTAGGTATATAATATTTGAAAGTTTTACCTACATTTAATTGTGCCAATATGTCAGTCATCATCAATACTATTGTCACCATCATTAACCTCATCCCAGCTTAGCAACTACCAGCAGTCCTCCAAATTAGTTCATTCATATTAAACCCATTGCTGACAGCTGACATGTAAATCCATCACATGTCATGACTAGACTCAAATCTAGATGGTATGGAGCTTCAAACCACATGGGAAATACATGCTTCTTGTTCTGATTTCCCTTTGAGCGGCTGACTGTATGTGGTGCTCAGAGCATGGCTCAGTATTAAGGTTTAACCTGTCAGCACTGAGTTAAACTGAACATTATAAACTCTTCATGAGTTGCCCATCCTCAGTTACCATGAATCCACTTTCAGATGGCAGAGGGAGAGAATGAAGATGAAGAAGTAAGCGCACTTCAAGAGCTATACAGACCTGGGCAGTTTGTAGTAACCTCTGTGGCCAGCATTGAGGAAATGGAAAATTGGAAGAAAGGTAAATGATCTATTTTTCTGAAGAAAGTGAAGATGAAAATAGGAAGGGATTGATATCTCCAAGGGGGGCTGGGGTGAAAAATATTATGGGAAAGGTAATTTAGTGGTATTTCTCTGTAAGGTTTGAAATTTGAAAGAGAATTATAAGCAGAAAAGAAAGTTTGATAAAAAAATACAAGTATATTTTTTATGGTGTATTAAGCAATAAAAGGTCTAAAAGACTAGTGTAGGTATGTTTAGTGCAATGTACTCCATAATTATAGGCTGTCAGACCAGGAAAGTAGTAGAGGGATTAACCTTGTAGCAGGTGCCATGAACTGAGTCAGCAAGAGTATTTGGAATTTCTTACGCAAGGATCAAGCTACTGTACATGTCTTCAGGGCCCTGATACTACCGGTTTTGCTATATGGAAGCAAAACCTGAGTTCTATCCTATGCCTTGTAGTCTTGTCTTGAAGCCTTTTGCACAGAACTGCTTCTTGTGCTGAATCATGGGGTGCAGCTGGTAGGAACATAAGTGCAACCACTGGTCAGATTATGAGAGTGGCATAGGTCCTTTTATATGCTCAATATAGGACAGCCATATATAAGGATGATCTGCTCACCATAGACAACCATGGGGGAGGAGGCATGTGGTTTGTTCAAATTGATCAGATCTACAGTAACAAGTTAGAGATAGACTGAGGACCTGGTGTTTGTTAAATCATTGCAGCAGAAACCGGATTTGATGTAGATATAATATGGCAGAAAGAAAGCAGGGAAAGTAGAAAGTAGAAAAAGAAAAACTTTACATGAACTAGTACATTGATATGTAAATCCTTATTATATTTGCAGATTCTCAGTTATTTTGATGTACACAAACTGACTTAAACACTTTTCCAGTAAGCCTGTCACTGATGCCACAAGATGTAAACTCATCACTCAATGCATCACTCCTGGAAGTGGGCTTTGTGCTGCCTTGTGCTGTGGCCAGCGTAGAGGACAATGGCTTCATCATGGACACCGGCATTGCCAATATGCGGGGGGCTTTCTTACCCCATAAAGCAGCGCAAGGTGCAGGTGAGATGCTTGTACACAATGTTTAGGGGATCTGACTCCTGTGTAAGAAAAAAAAATAGATTGTTAACTTTGCAATTTGTTTTCCTCACATTTAAAATCTTATTTTCTCTAATATATTACTTTACTTCTCTGGGAGTTCATTAGAGAGAGTCTCTTGCTGTACAATTCAGGCCACGTAATAAGTCAAGATGACCTTATCAACGTGTCAGACTCCTTGCTAGTAACAACTACAGAAACTTCATTTCATCACTGTCCTTACACTCCTTATAACATCCCCCAACCTTTACAGACATTGTGGGTGTGGGAACTGTGTTGCGGTGCATGGTGACCAAGATCAGCGGTGATGCGGAGAAGGGCTGGTGGAATGTGGTCCTATCCGCCAAGCCAAAGGCAGTGAGTGAGGCCACGCTGCCCCTCATTTCCACCACCAACCTTTCCATGATGATTCCCGGGACAGCTGTCGATACTGTTGTGTCTAAGGTATAAACAGGATTCATTGTTATAAATTAATTGCTAAATTGAAAAAGTATTTGTTGTATATATGCTAACTTTCTCATAGGCTATGATTATAGTAATAAGTAATCTCACTTTTTCTCTAATTGGAAACCCTAAAGGTATCTCATTCAGTGTAATGGGTTTAATTGCAAATATGAGTCATATAGAATCATAGAAGTGAATTTTCCACTCCTTTAGAAATCAACTCGCTATTGCTAAGATTTCCATTTTCTTTGCTGTCTGACTGTATGAACTTGCTGGATATATATATATATATATATATATATATATATATATATATATATATATATATATATATATATATATATATATATATATATATATATATATATATATATATATATATATATATATATATATATATATATATATATATATATATATATATATATATATATATATATATATATATATATATATATATATATATATATATATATATTATATATATATATATATATATATATATATATATATATATATATATATATATATATATATATATATATATATATATATATATATATATATATATATATATATATATATATATATATATATATATATATATATATATATATATATATATATATATATATATATATATATATATATATAATATTATATATATATAATATATATATATATATATATATATATATATATATATATATATATAATATATATATATATATATATATATATATATATATATATAATATATATATATATATATATATATATATATATATTATATATATATATATATATATATATATATTATATATAATATATATATATATATATATATATATATATATATATATATATATATATATATATATATATATATATATATATATATATATATATATATATATATATATATTATATATATATATATATATATATATATATATATATATATATATATATATATAATATATATATATATATATATATATATATATATATATATATTATATATATATATATATATATATATATATATATATATATATATATATATATATATATATATATATATATATATATATATATATATATATATATATATATATATATATATATATATAATATATATATATATATATATATATATATATATATATATATATATATATATATATATATATATATATATATAATATATATATATATATATATAATATATATATATATATATATATATATATATATATATATATATATATATATATATATATATATATATATATATATATATATATATATTATATATATATATATATATATATATATATATATATATATATATATATATATATATATAATATATATATAATATATATATATATATATATATATATATATATATATATATATATATATATATATATATATTATATATATATATATATATATATATATATATATATATATATATATATTATATATATATATATATATATATATATATATATATATATATATATATATATATATATATATATATATATATATATATATATATATATATATATATATATATATATATATATATATATATATATATATATATATAATATATATATATATATATATATATATATATATAGTTTTTTTTATAACAATAACAATACAGAGCATTTAAAGTCTCATTATTCAGTGGAGAAAAACAATCCTTTTGTGTTTAGCTTTTCAGTGTTCTCACACAAGAACTTTGATAGAAAAATATATGTAAACATAAATATTTGTATTATGTATTGCCTCATGGGCTAGCATGATAAACAGTTGTCATACCATCATTTAATTCACACAATTTGTCTCTCCCATTTTACTCCTCAAGGTGGAAGATTATGGCCTGAACATCATCCTGGCCGAGTATGACGGTGTTGTGAACCGCATCCACCTTAAGAAGCCTTTCGACATCATTCATCACTACCAGGAGGGCATGAATGTAAAGGCCAGGGTGCTATACACTACGCCAATGAACAAAGTCGTTCACTTCACCCTACAGAAGAACATTTTCTCAGAAGGGTAAGTCCTGTGTGCCATATGCCAGTTGTGTTGAAGGCAAGATGTAACATTGTTCATTTGCATTTGTGGAAATTGCCACCTTATAAAGTTTATATTTAATGACAATTATTGTTGTGTAAAGTGACTATGGTTCTTTATTTAGTATGCTTTCTTTTTTCGGCAGATGTACAATTCTATTTTCTTTGTACTGCATTTCCTCCTCCTCCTCCAAATTTTCTTCCAAATCCTTCTCTTCTTCCACATTTTTACCTCTACTTCTCATAATTTTGATTTCCCCATCATCTTTGTTATATATTTTCTTTTATTTTTTACTTTTTGTATTATTATTATTTTTTTCCATGCTAATTTTTCCTTGTATGTCTACCCTTTCTCTTTTTCCTCCTAATTTCTTTTCTTTTCCTATCTGTCTTCCATTTTGTTGTTTTTCCCCCCCATATTTTATAAATGCTTTATTCTCTTCACAGCCCAGACGAAAAGTTATTCCATGACCTCAAAGAAGGGGACATTGTGGAAGATGCTGTGGTCTATGAGTCAAGATCAGTGGGTATTTCCCTCAAACTGAACGACAAATATCGCGGTTATTGTTCCTGGAACCGCCTCATGGATGGTGACAAACCCCCCAAGAACATGAAGAAAGTATTTCCTATTGGCCGTCAATTGGTATGCAGGATTCTCAAGTACTCCTCCATGGATCAGATGTATATTGTCTCCTTGGAGAAATCGGTGATAGAACAGCAGGTGAGTTGAAGGATTTGTTTGATCGTTTTTCCTAAAGCTCCCTAGGGAAGGGGGACAGTATTATGGGTATAGGAAGAGAAGAAAAGGAAGGAAAAGAGAGGAGTTTTTTATACTGATTTTTTAATGTTAGGAACTTAGACAGGTTTAGAATTAATTTATATAGTCTTTTCTGTCTGTAGGTGTTTAATCCTGTAGACATAGCTACTTTTAACCCTCCAACCCTGTAATACCTCAGTCCATTCTTGCCACTCAGCTGAGAATAACCCAAAATGCTTGACTTTTACTGTTTGAACGTCTTGATTTGTGTTTCCAGAAAGTGCATTATGTTTAGTCTTGTTATAAAACTTCAGGTACTGAATAAATAACATTATATTTGTTTGTAAAAGACTAAGTGAAGAAATTTCAAATAAATAGAACATATAATTATGTCAAGTATGTATATATGAGATACATTGTAAGAATAAATGTTATTCTCATGGATATCTGATTTATATTCAGTTATAATTTTTAAAAGCTGATGCTCTATTTAGGTGACATGGACTTTAGGGGTTATACATGGGTTATAGAAATTTTGAATATTGATACAAAGACTAAGTTTTGTATGCTTCTGTCATGAAGTTTTATGTTTAATTGTGACTTGAAATCTGAAGATAACCAATTTCCATCGCTTTCCTACCTTTCAGTTACTTAGCTACAATGAGGTGGAAGTGGGCACAAAACTGAAAGCAACTATCAAAGGCTACAATGACTTTGGGGCACAAGTGGCTCTCAGCAAGACAGTTAGTGGCCACATTGATTTCATGATGCTGACGGACACGCAGATAAAGAATCCAGAGAAGAAATATCCCGCTGGCTCAGTGCTGGATTGCCGTGTGGTGTATGTGGTGCCCCAGAGAAAGATTATCAACCTCACAAGTAAGAAGCTCCTGGTCAACTCTCCACACCCAATTATCTCGGAGTATGACCCTAATCTGGTAGGCGCTATATCAGAAGGATGTGTTGTGCGCATCAACCAATCTGGTTTGCTGGTAACTATGTACAATGATGTGAAGGGCTTTGTTCCGAAGAGCCAGGCCACTTCAAGGAAGGTGACCAGTCTGGATGCTCTCTTCACCTTGGGACAGGTTGTCAAGTTCCGCATCATCAATGTGGAGCCGGAGAAAAGGAATATGACCCTCTCTCTGCGTATTGACGGAGGTTTAGTGCCACATGAGGAGAAGCCTGCAGCAGTGGCTGTGAGTATGCGCCAGAAGGTTGATGGTGTCATTAAGGAAATCCAGGAAAAAGTGATTATTGTGACACTGAAGAATGAAGGAGTGGATGCACAGCTCCCTGTCAGTCATTTGCTGGATGATGTCTCCAAGTGTGGCATAGTGAAGTCCCTGCTCAAGGAAGGAGATGAGGTGAAGGATGCAGTTGTCTTCTCCATAGAGGAGGAAATCATCACTTTGTCATTAAAGACTAGTGTGCACAACTGGATTAACACTAGCACCCCAGAGCAGCAAGAGGTGCTCTTGAAGTCTGTACCATATCCAGCTGTTTTACAGAAAGTATATGCTCATGGGGCACTGGCCAAGATTCCAGCAGGTGAATGTGGACAAAAGCATTTGATTCACTTCAAAAAGTTAGGGGATGAAAGTCCGTATATTGACTGCAGAGCTGTAGGACTGCATCCAGGTCAGACTTTGTGGGTGGAGTCGGAAGGCGTTGACAAAATGGGCCGTCAGATTCTATCCTGCCTTCACACGAGAAATGTTCAAAGGAGGGCAGTCCAGCATAGCATTCAGCCATTATATAGTCGTTTACTCAACTTAAAAATGGTTAAGGATATCATCATGAAGAGAGGAAGCGCTATTGACAGACAACTAGCTGAACTCCAAATTGGCAGAAAATTGGGGGTCACAGTCACAGAGGTCACAGACTTTGGCCTTCATGTGAACATGAAAGGGAGCCAAATTCAGGGTTTCATTAGCAAAGAGCACCGAGGTCCCTACACAGATGTTGTGGTTGGCCAAAAATTATATGCGTGTGTGATGAATGTGAACTTTGAGAAACAGTCTGTTGACCTTTCATCGCAGCCTCTTGTTGTGAAAAAGTTGAAGACTTCAGACACTCCCAAAGTTTCTTTTGGAAGGAGGGCCAAGTGTGAAATCATTCAAGTTCAAGAGAACTTCGTCAAGGTCATGCTAACGTCAAGAGATGTTGGTCTCGAAGCCTATTTGCCTCCTTTAGAACACGAATTGAACATCGAAACGAAGAACGCGCATTATAAAGTAGGAGAAGAGCACAGAGTAACCATTGAGCATGTTGATGGCGGCATTGTTGTAGCTGTCTTGAGAAGATTCGAAGACAAAGACACGGAACCTAAATTACTCTCAGACGGACCCTCGTGGCAGTTGTCGTCCAATAATACAAGTGAAAGCATGGAAGCTGTGGAAGACATTGAAAGTGATGCGGAAGAAGTAGCAGAGACGTACGCCAAACTACTGGTAGAATGTAAGAAGGCCAAGCGAAAGGAGGAGATAGAGAATCAGTGGAAAACTCAGGCTGCAAAGAAGAGGAAGAGAGAGGAATCTGGGGCCACAGGGGAGGAAGAGGCACCCAAGAAGAAGAAGAAGAAGAAGAAAGCGAAACGAAAGAAGCCAAAGAAGGGACAGAAAACAGTGCAGATGTAACGGTGTCGACGCCAGTATCCCGCTGATGACGCTGGTGTAACGCTGTCGCCGATGTAACGCCGAGTGCAGTGGATAATTTGTAGATCACAGGAGTTTTATCATCCACAATCCACCATTCTGACACACAAGAATATTTCTCTATCTGTTACCTACAGTGTTCATCAGGGGCAGCAGATACATCATCCTGAATTTCAAGTTTATTTTTTTTTTATTATAAGATACCAGAATTGTTATGTTATGTGAAGTATCGGCTGGTTTCTGTACAAAAAAGAAATACATGCCCTATGTACTATCACAAATACAAAATATTTGTATACAAACCGTTCTTCTTTTCTTCCTTTCTTAACAAAGCAATTGAAGAGTATTATCTGGCTTATTGATTATTTCAACTCAAACCGACATGTTTTTAACGAAGCAGTTGAAAAGTATTTATTAACTCATTGATTACACAGTATAACATTGATCTATCAAAAGAAGTTGAGAAATATGACGCGGAAAATAATTATACTAATACTTTATTTGGCTCTAAACACACCGCGGTTATGAAATATATATATAGTTATAGAATCCCATAATATCTCGCCTTAGTACTACACTTGAAGGTTCTCCCAAACTTCCAAACATTTGTTACCTACGCGTGACATTAATACCCTTCGTCCCCGCACTGCATTATTAACGAAGGATTCTCGCTGCCACACTCTCCTTTCATACCTCACACTGCCTTTATTTCTTGGCGTTTGGTATTTGGCACGAACTTGGCACATTCGATCACGCCATAAACCATACGAAGCAAAAGCATAATAACTGGTCCTGGTTATGAAATCCTAACAGAACCGACAAGCGTGACGCTGCGACGGGATTCGAATGGACTTAGAAGGATGTCACAGGCTTATTCCCCACACGTTACGGGTTCCATTTAGGTTAACATGTTTCTGACATCGACAAGAAAATATTAACCGATGAGTGCTAGTGTCTGTTACACAAAGACTATAGCTTGCTTAATTTTTCCCCACAACACAATTGAGAAAAAATAAAAATAAAAATATATAAATAAATAAATAAAATAAAAAAAGAAAAAAATAGAAAGTGAAAAATAGAAAAGAAAAAAAACAAAACATACAAGCATACATACATATATAGCAAAAGTTAATCTTTCCTTACAATTTAAGGAATGTCTCTACACCCACATAGAATATAAGCGGGTATTTTGGATCGTGATAAGAGTAAAAAATCAAACTGGGTCATGATGAAAAAGTTAGAAGAACCCTGCTTTATGCGACCTCTGTCGTCGCTCGCGTAGTGACCACAGATAAGTAAAAAATAAGAAAAAGATATGAGACGTAGGACGAGCAATGTAGTAAGGCTGCAAAGACCAAAGGTAATATAACATAACAGCCAGCGCTCGCGTAGTGACCACAATATAGAGAAAAAAAATAAGAAAAAAGATATGAGACGTATGACGAGCAATTTAGTAAGGCTGCAAAGACCACAGGTAATATAACATAACAGGAGAAAAAGGCAAGAAGACTGCAAAAGAAGAAGAAAGGAGAAGAATTGGTAAAATCGAGCAGTTATATAGAGGGGGTAGGTCTGAGTAAACATAGCGAGAGATTGACTTTGTATGGAATGTCTCGGCTATCCTTGCAGACGGTGGGCAGCCCTTTGAGAGTGAAGAGGAAAGGGAAGACGGGTAAGAGGTAAGTTCAGGTTGTTGTATTTTGTAAGTTCATTGTTGTATTTTGTAAGTTCATTGTTGTATTTTGTAAGTTCATTGTTGTATTTTGTAAGTTCATTGTTCTATTTTGATATTTACTGTTAAAGAAAGCAAAGAATGCTTCAGTAGGGTGCAAGCTGCAGGCGAAATAGTACGTATTTGCCAGCATTTAATCTGACGAGCAATGGTATACCGTCATCATCTTCACAGAGAAACAAAAACAGAGGTAGAGGATGGGGTCATGGCTAAGAAGGAGGAACATCGTTTGTACGAGCTTGAGGGTGCGAGGCTGGATAAGGAACGGCTGTCGCAGACCACTTGAATATAAGGAAACCCTGGTAATTTGGATTAATCCCGTCAGCTTGCAATTGGAATACCGTTTCTACACACGCACACACACACACACATTTAGGTACACACATTTATGCACACTCACACCCACACCACACACGTTTAAGTACACACACACATATAGACAGACAGATAAAAAAAAAAAAAAAAAAGACACACATAAATAGATAACACACACGCATACACATAGCCAAAGAATTTCTTCAAAATCTGCCTTGGAGTCTGGGATGTCTGCAAGAGCCCCTCGCATTCACGCCAGTCTGCGACAGCCGGTTCCTACCCAGCCGAGCCCGCTCAAGACCGTATAACCCCTGTCCTGCTTATCCATGGCCTGACGACAAAATAAAAAGGAGTTGTGTGATGACGTATGTTGCAGATCTGAGGAGGACAAACCAGAGAGCACGGCAACCATTGTGCTGTGTTTCATGGTATAATGTTTTCTAGAGGGAGTGGTGGCTGCGAGTATTCTCTCTTAATGCCTTAATGTTATTGAATCGATATTTCGATCTACAAATACTTATCTTCTTGTCCGTCTATATATAGGCCGTTTCCGAGATTTCAGTAACACGTAGGTATTATTTCCAGAGAATAGCTGATGATACTGAATATAGTGGAAATAAGTAGAAGCAGAAATAGCCAAGGGAAGACATTACAAACAAGACACAAACACAAAACAAGAATAAAACCTGTTGACAAAGGAACAAAATCAAAGATATTATTTCATAAATTCCTAAAAAGAAAAAAGAAAAAA